AAAAAAAAAAAAAAGGCAGCAAAAGGTACTGCAGCAGTTTCTTTCTTTCTTTCTTTTTAAACAGAGACAGGGTCTTACTATGTTGTCTAGACTGGTCTTAAACTCCTGGCCTCAAGCAATTCTCCCACCCTGGCCTCTTAAAGTGCTAGGATTATAGGTGTGAGCTACATCTGGCCAGTTTAACAAAAGGTAATTTTCAGCCAAATCGCACTAAAACAAACCTCCTAGGACCAGCCAAAGTTCTTTATATTTCAAAAAGTATTAGAAGGCCAGGTGCAGTGGCTCATGCCTGTAATCCCAGCACTTTGGGAGGTCTGAGGTCAGGTGTTCGAGGCCAGCCTGGCCAACGTGGTGAAACCCCATCTCTACTAAAAATACAGAAATTAGCCAGGCGTGGTGGCAGGCGCCTGTAATCTCAGCTACTCAGGAGGTGGAATCAGGAGAATTGCTTGAACCCAGGAGGCGGAGGAGGTTGCAGTGAACTGAGATGATGCTATTGCACTACAGCCTGGGTGACAAGAATGAAGCCCCCTTTCAAAAAAAAAAAAAAAACACCTATTAGGAATAAGCAGATTACTAGTCTGCTAATCTTTTTTAGATGGTGTTTTGCTGTGATGGGATCCAAATCCCATTTAATAAGGGTGAAAACTTTCAAGAATATTGGATAACCTCTAAAGTGGAAGAAATTTATTTTGGTAGAGATTGGGTCTTGCTGTATTGCCCAGGCTGAGCTTGAACTTCTGGACTAAAGCAATCCTCCTACCCTGGCCTCCTAAAGTGATGAGATACAGGCATGAGCCACTATGCTCAGCCCAGAAATTTATTTTTAACTTCACGTATTATGTTCACTGTGTAAGGTAAGAAATTCTCAAGGGGCAAAAAAAAGGTTCCTGTAGAGAAGGGTTTAAGCAGCCAGATTTCTGGACAAAAAGGCATCATTCACTTGTTAAAGACAAAAACAAATCAAATCCAGACTCTTCTCATTTTTTATATATGCTATACCTGTTTTATAGGCTAGTGAGTCCTAATAAAGCTTTTAATATAACTTCAGGACATATCTGTACTATACATATTTTGCAGTGCTCTAAAATACAAAACCTACCTGTCAACACATTTATTAATACTCCAGTGTTTTATTTTTAAAAGACAGATTGGCTAATGCCATGAATTGTACACTTAAAAATCATTATAAGGATAAATTTTACATATATTTTACCATCAGTTAAAAATAAAAAGCCTGGTGTGGTAGGGAATGCCAGTAGTTCCAATGACTAAGGAAGCTGAAGCGAGAAGCGGCTTGAGCCCAAGAGTTCGAGGCCAACCTGAGCAACATAGTAAGACCCTATCTCTTAAACAAAAGGCAGATTGGAAGCCTTAGTTAACAGCCCCATTTTTATAACAGATGAGAGGTCAAACTATTTAACCTAGCAACTCACACAAATGACAGCACACAAGCTGTTAAGATCTCAGGCAACAGACTTATATCTAAAGACTGTTGCCACTGACCAATGTATTAATGGATATGAAAAGCTAGATGTAATGAAATAGTATGAATTTTAAAAGACTATTAACTGTAAATACCTTTATAAGCATGTATTACTTATAAAATTAAAATTTTATATATGTAATAAAATAAAAATTTTTTTTTTAAATAAAAATTTAAGAGAGGTGAACTAAGGAGCAAGCATGTGTTTCAACCTCCATTTAAACACATGACTATTTTCCTACCTCAGCATCTTGGGATTTGGCAATGTCCACCAAAGTCTTTGCTGCAGGATGGACAACATCAAGAAGTTTCAGAATTGTGGCCCCATCATTAGAAATTGTTGCTTTGCCTCTGCCATCCACAATAAGCTTGTCCATGCCACGAGGACCCAAGGTGGTTCTTACAGCCTCAGCAATCACCTGGCAGGCACTGATGTTACTCACAAGCTGGGGGATGCCTTGGGAGCTATCAGTCCCCTCTTTCAACAGTATAACTGGCGTGGGCTAGAAAAGAAAGAGAAATTATAATGAGACTGGCAGGAGGAAGAGGAAAATTCTCCCATCTCTCCCTTAACAGAATTATCTAGAGGTCTTTTTAAACCACATTTTTCCAACTGTCTACCACGTGCATTCCCCAACCAGCCTCTACCTCCAGAGACATTATCAAACTTAGCATACACTGCAGGTATGCTAGACAGGAAAATAGTTTGAGAAGCACTGCCCTAGTCTAAAAGAACAAATCATGAGTTCTCTAATGCCCAGCTAAATGACCATGGCCTTTTCAACTTCTGACCTCACTCCCTGTGCTGAGGAATTAGGTCACAACTCAGGAGGAAGAGGCAGACCCTGCTAAGTGTTCATCCCACAGCAAAACATCCACTTATCTGTGTTACAGCTCAATCTTAGAGAAGCAGATGGCGCACTGATGCAAAATGCAAGATGCCAAGAGCTTGAGGTGTTGTCCTGGAGATGCCTAGGCAGTCAGTGATATTCAGCTGGAGTGTAGGAAAACAGGCAGAGAAACAAACAGCACCTTCGCCTTGTTTTGAAAAATGATGGCAAATCTAATTCATACAACAACGTTTCCATCTCTCATGCTAGCTCAATAAATTTCTGTGTGACTACTTTCCAATTAGATACCCCAAAGAAGTTTTTCTTTCTATATTGCATTGGTCTCCAGAACATTCCCTATCCCTATAAGGGCTTCATTAACAGACCTGCTTTAGAAAATCTGAGAAACAGGGATACTTGCTTGTTTTAAAGGGCCTGGTCAGATATCTTTGCTCCAGTGACCATTATTAGCACAGAGAGTAATTTCTCAGCTTAGCAAATCAGAGTACTTTCTCTCTGCATTCAAATCTGAGCCTTCAGAGATGAGTCCACTAACCATATCCAGTCTTCTCATGTGTTTCCAATTTTGCGTGTGACATATAATGTAGTAAAGATAAATACTATTTCAAAACTTTTATTGTGTTATTAAATTTGTTGCTAGACTATAAAAATTTATTTCTTACTGTGGAATGCAATAAAAAGTTTGAAAGCCATTGCCTAGTCCTTAGAGGTACATGAAATGTCTGGGCAAGGAAGGCACGGGAAAGTACAGGTCTGTCCCAGTCTAACAATGAGGAGTGAGGAATTCCTGACAAAGGCAGAGTCTAACCACCTATGAGGCTGGTTCCTCATTAGCTGGTCAATTCCTTAAAAAGCTCAACTCCTTTTAGCTAGTGCAGCTGGAGGGTAGAAAGCAAGAGGAAGACTGGAATAATGCTGAAGAGGCAGGCTGGAACCAGATCACATACACACTTGTAGACACACTTGGTGAGGAGTTCAGATTTCATTCCTACAAAGGAAAGCCCTGGGAAGCTTTCAGCAGAGGAATGGCTTACTGTGATTCACATAAGAACGAAAACCACTGTAGAAAAAAAGAGGATCACTGGAGCTCATGGACTTCAAGACCAGCCTGGGGAACATGGCAACACCCTGTCTCTACAAAAAGAAAATGAAAGATACGCAACAAACTCTATGGAGTAAGAGAGTGGCAGAAATTTATTATTCATTTTATATATATACACACATACACATATATTTTGTTTGTTTGTTTATAGAGAACTTCAAAGCTACTGCAAATTAATCACTATATATTTTTTATATTTCTAAGAGACAGGATCTTGTTCTACCACCCACACTGGAGTGCAGTGGTGAGATCATAGCTTCCAATGAGCTCAAGCCTCCTAAGCAGCTGGGCCCCAAGGCATGTGCTACCACACATGGCTATTTTTTTTTATTTTTGTAGAGATGGGGGTCTCACCATGTTGCCCAGGCTGGTCTGGCCTCAAACAATCCCCCTGCCTCAGACTCCTAAAGCACTAAGATTACAGGCATGAGGCACCACACTGGGCCCTCATTAAATTTTTTTAAATGCTTGTCAAATAATCATACATTACTCATTTTATTTTTTAATTTAAAAAGAACGCTTGTCCTTGGCCAGGCGCAGTGGCTCACGCCTGTAATCCCAGCACTTTGGGAGGCTGAGGCAGGCAGATCATGAGGTCAAGAGATAGAGACCATCCAGGCCAACATGATGAAATCCCATCTCTACTAAAAAATACAAAAAATTAGCTGGGCGTGGTGGCACGCACCTGTAATTCCAGCTACTCAGGAGGCTGAGGCAGAAGAATTGCTTGAACCCAGGAGGCGGAGGTTGCAGTGAGCCAAGATTGCACCACTGCACTCCAGCCTGGCGCCTGGTGACAGAGTGAGACTCTGTCTCCAAAAAGAAAAAAAGAATGCTTATCATGTAAACCCCTACATTTGGGGTCAGGCATCAAGTGAAGGAAAAATTCCTTCCTTTTGCTGAAGTGTATCAGGTCTGGTAGCAAGAAATGGCTTCTCTATACTCCCAGCATTCTTTCTGGTCCTTCAGCTAGCCCAGTCCCTGGAACCTTCTGCAAGGGAAAGATGTGTGTCCTGAAAGGCCCCACCATCTCCCAGTCCTGCTAAATCATTCCTATGGCAGCCCCAAGTCCTCTCTGGTCCACCCCTGCCACAGATGGAGTCTTACACTTTAAATCAAAAACCAGCGTTGAGTCTTAACCACTTCCTATCACCTTCGACAGGTTCTTTCATCTCCTTAACAGGTTAACTTATCCAATGCTTTTGTACACTTCTCACCTCAACCTGCAAAGTGTACCTGCATTTAAAATAGCCACTCCGCCATCTTACACCAAAACCACTCTCTTACCACCAGGCCAGCAATTCCTCAGATCCCAATTCTTCCAAGAAGTTTTCTCTACAACAATAAACAGGGACATCCAAACAGGGAATCCTATAACTTTCTCTTCACTTCCCCTTGCTCACAACTTTTGTATCACCATCCATCGTAAGTATAAGCTTTCCAAAGACAAGGACCAGAATAACCTTAATTTGAAGAGTGTCAAGATTTGTCCACACATGAAGCAATATTCAGCAGCTTTTGGGGCTGAAAATCCAACTGCTACTTGAAAGTGCTTGACAGCACTGGCTTCTTGACTTTTGCAGGGGAAAAGCACTAGCAGTACAGTAACACTAAATTTACTCAGAGTTCTTAAGTACAAAGCAAGAAGAGCTTGGAAGCAGCTGACCACAGATTCCCCAGGTTCCCTATGCTTTGTAGGCCCTGCAGAAATGGTAGGCTGGGTAGAGGAAAGTGTCTATGGGGTGGAAAAAGTGGCAAAGCTGGACTGAGTCAAGCCAAGGCAAGCAGGGTAGGTTCTAACAGTTCCCCAGCATCAGGTACTGTATGGAAAGTCCAGCTTCTGCCCCTTAGTTACTTTCAACCTCACTCTTTTTTTTATTCCTCTAATAAATAAGAAACAAGTCCAGGTGTGGTGACTCACACCTGTAATCGCAGCACTTTGGTAGGCCAAGGTGGATGAATCACAAGGTCAGGTGTTAGAGACCAGTCTGGCCAACATGCTGAAACCCCGTCTCTACTAAAAATACAAAGATTAGTGCACACCTGTAATCCCAGCTACTCGGGAGGCTGAGGCAGGAGAATCGCTTGAACCCAGGAGGCAGAGGTTGCAGTGAGCAGAGATCAGGCCACTGCACTCCAGCCTGGGTGACACAGCAAGACTCTTGTCTTGCGGGAAGGAAAAAAAAAAAAAAGAAAAGAAACAAAAGCAGACTCCACTAATGCGCCACAGGTATCACGGAAGGTTTAGGAATTTCAGCTAATGATCTTCCTCTTCATCCTACTTTAAAACTTTCACTAAGCATTATTAAGCTTAATGGTTTACAAAACAAGTGTGTATATGCAGAGGCACACAGCGCTGAACACCACAAAGGCAAGGACATACATTTCATACAAGTTGTACCAACTTCACAGGACTGACAGGAGGGGACCTTTTCACTTCTCTTTCGATCACAAAAGGACATCGGGGGACAATGAAGACAGGAAGACTCTTGGAGATAGAAGTTTCACATTCCAAAAACGGTGAGGAGATATAAAGAGCCAATACAGCAGGGAAACAGTCAATCTGACAGAGGAGGGGTCAGTTCAGGGAAAAGCCAAGCATGGTAATATAAAGCCCCTTGGTAAGTTTTATCACGCCACAGAGAATGGCGGTTCTGATCCCTAGCTGTGTGAATGTCAACCAAAGCTCTTATGGAAGCCTTGGCAGCAGGATGGTCTCATTACAGAGATGAAAGGAAGCAAACCACCACCTTGCTGACTAAGAGCTAACATTTGCTGAGTGCTTACTATCTGCTAGGCACACTGACAAACTGAGAATCAGAAATTAAATAACATGCTCAAAGTCACACAGCTACTAAGTGGCAGAGCTAAGTTACAACCTAGGCATTCAGTGTAGCTCCAGAGCCCTTACTCTCACCTGCTATGCTATGCTGCCTCTGCACAGAAGATGAAGACGACTTCGAGAATGAGCAATGCTAGAGACACAAAGGGGAGAGGAAGTACAGTTAAATGCCAATTTCCTTCTACCTTGGGTACAAGCGGGATTCACAGGGCATTTGGTATAACACCTAAAAGGTGTCAGTCAGCCTCCCTAACAGGACAGGGGGAAGAAGCTGCAGGAAGCAGGAAAAGAACAGCAGATTGGGTCGGATAGGTCAAAATGAGTAAGTGAACTGCCAAGCGCACAGAAAGTATCTCAGTCAAGATTTTGCCATCAAACACCTCCTCGGAAGCTGATCCTGCTCAATAACAACCCAGGAGATACCATGGAGGCTTGGGACCCACGGAAAGTATCTGAAGCTCCAGAGAGGGAGAGGAGGGGAATGGGGAGCAGGGCTACAGGGAGCACTTTAGGTGGCTCCAAGACTCACAGCAACTCCCTCGCCCCAAATTTCAAGAAAACGAGACCCAGAGTTAGGTAGCCAACTAGAAAAGCCTTTGTAATGTCACCGGAGTCCGAGCCTGGGTCTTCCCACCTCCGATACAGTGCCCCCCATCTGCCATTCTCGCTCTTCTGGCTGAGAGGTACACCCCCAGCAACCATTAAGGCCTGGTTCATTCAGTGGGCACTAAAGACGCGTTTATTTAATAACTGAGTGAATGAATTAAAAGTACTAGGGAAGGCGTCTGCTTCTCTGCAAGTGACCACAGTGAGTCCCTGGGCGGGCACAATGAGGTCCCCAGTGTGTCGCTACCGGTTCTAGGAAGCACACGTCTTTAAGGCTCGCAAATCTCAAGGCAGCTCGGGCTTCCAAGCCTGCCTGCCGACCGCGTAGGCACGCCCGACCTGCACTCGTTTCACGCAAGTCACGGTCATGCGGGGCTCAAAAAGGGGTTCCCGACGTGGGTTCGTGAGCCCGAGGCACCCTGGGACTTGTAGTCCCCAACTGGCCCGCCCAGAGACTCCCCTAAAGCCCCAAACAGCCCTCGCCAGCGGCTCCAGAGCCGTGGTCCTGCCAAGCCAGGCTGCGGCGGGCCGGAGTCGCCCATTAAGCTGGGGATCTGGGCGAGGACAGAGGCGGCAAGCAAAAGAGGGTCCTACACAGCGGGCCCCGGCCGAGCGGCGCCGGCCACCGACCAGATGGCAGTAGATGGCGACGGATGCGCAAGACGCCACTCACCATCATTTTGGAAGCTTATTCAGCGTTCCGCCACTCTCCCTCTTCTCAGAGACCCGGCCGCGAGCAACCCACAATGCTCCGCGCAATAGAAATACCCAGAAGCTTGGGCCGGGAGAGGAAGAGGACGGACCACTTCCGCCGCTCTATGGTTTGCTACCACCGAGTCGGTGCGGCTAGAAAGACCTGAGGCCAGGCTTCAGAGGCGCTGTAGTGAGATGTGTTCATTAAAGAGGAGAAGCCGCATTTCAGTCGTGCTTTTGTTTTTGCGGAAAGAGGGCCTTTGTTCGTCTCGCATCACCTACTAACCTTAATTCCACCCTCCTCCAAACCCGGACGCCAGACCAAGGAATGCAATAAAGGCAAAAGTGTATCAAACGCCAATTATGGGACAAGCTGGTGCCAAAGCACTTTAAGTGAGCAATCTCATTTAATCCAAACACCCCGATTGCGTTGGTCCTATTATTAAGGCCAATTTACTCATGCGAGAACAGAGGCTGAGAGGTCAAGCTGTCTAGTGTCACAATTACACAGTCGGTGGCAAAGGGGCGAGCGTGGGAAACTGGCCCCAACGCCCGTTTTCTGGCTTTGCACTGGCCAGAGGCTCCTCTCGGATAGCGTACGCCAGCCCGCGGCCCCAGCACCTATCCACGGTGAGCACGCAAGCGTTGGTGGCATTGGGCGGAGGACCCCCTGGCGCAAGATGATGCCTTCCTGTGAAGGCTTGGGGAGGAGGGAAGCGCAGCTGGGAGAAGGCTAATCGTTAAGCAAGACAGCCTTGGAGTGGGCAGGACCGAGATCGCAAGCGCTAATGGCCACGACTATCGACAGTTGAAGCAAGTCTGACTGAGGGCACACCTCTAGTGCCGGTCCACCCCGGCCCGCCCACCGCCAGCGAGGACCAGGAGAGTCGAATCCAAACTGAGAAATGCTGGGGCGGGGCTGAGGCACGGGGCGGCTGTAGCTGTTAAGAGTTTAAACCAATCAGCCCCCGGCTCCACTTCTCTCGACCAATAGGAAGTAGGCTAAGGCGCAGAGACGGAAAGTGTGGCTACACGAGCAGGCGTCAGAGCCAATCAGCCGTGAGCCTCGTTCCCGTTGTCCAACCAGCGGAGAGAGCGGGTATGTGGGAGGGAGACCGGAGCAGCTGTCAGCCTAAAGTCCGGCGAGCTACGCGCGGCGGGGCGGCAGGAGGAGACGCGGCGAGGGGCCGGACCCTGGAGATGGTCCCCGGCGCCGCCGGCTGGTGTTGTCTCGTGCTCTGGCTCCCCGCGTGCGTCGCGGCCCATGGTGAGCAGCAACGGGCGGGGCTGCACTCCAGGGTGGGGCTGCCCCTTCAGCTTGCGCGCGTCTCGGTCTGGGGGCCACGGGTCACCTTGGGGACCCTGCGAGTTCAGAGCAGGGCAGGTCTGGAAACGGGAGGCCGGAGTAAGTGGATGGTGGTCCAGGGACATAAGGTGGGCGCAGCCTGCGGCTGAAGCTCTGAGTCTCAGCTTCCCACGACAAAGCAGGTCTCCCCACTTGTCCCCCCCACCCCCGCCCACTAGCGCCGACCCAGGTGACTTAGGGTGCGATCCGGGGGGACAGCTAAAGAAAGATACTACAGGCTGGAGATATGCATGTAAGCATTCACATGTACAGGCGCATACATTCCTACACGTGGGCACACACGCACAACCCGTTTACACCTACACAAGCACATAAATGTATACATCTACGCATACACTTAAGCACATATGTATACCCACAACTTACACAGATTAGCACATGCAAAGGCAAGCAGGGGTTGGAGGAGGAGGGAGTGAGTTTGACGCTAGTCCAGGAAGGCTTTCTGGGGGTGTATTTGTATCTGATGGGGAGTCCCCACTCCCAGGACTGTATAGCTCAGTGTCAAGCCAGGGGAGCTCTACCTGATGCCTGTGATGTGAGCGGTAAACAAGGACAGCTAAAGCCATAATCAATCCCAGCCTTGATTACAGTAGTGACTTGGTAGTTTGTCTATTGACCAATGGACTTGTGGCAGCAGTTTTCATCCTTCAACATTCCACAATCTCTCTGGGCTAAGGAAACCAGGGACTCAAGTCCAGTTACAACACTAAGCTTTGGTGCTGAGAAGAAGTTCCCATGCCCCAGAAAAATCTAGTTGTCTGGAAATTATCTTCTTCAGTGCAATGGCGCTGGATATAGTTGTTGTTCCTTCATTCATTTAGCAGAATTTACAGGGCTACCCCTTTATTATAGCCACTATGCGAGGCACTGGGGATTCTGCATTGAATGAAGTTACAAAGTGGAAGAGACAGATATTTAAAAATGATGAATCAAGGGTAGGTGCAGTGGCTCAGGCCTGTAATCCCAAGTCAAGGTGGGAGGATCACTTGAGCCCTGGCAACAAAGCAAGACCCCGTTCCTATTTAAAAAATGAAGAAAAAAAAAAATCAGCCTGGGTAATATGGCAAAACCCCGTCTCTATTAAAAAATACAAAAAATTGGCTGGGCACAGTGGCTCATGCCTGTAATCCCAGCACTTTGGGAGACTGAGGCAGGCGGATCACCTGAGGTCAGGAGTTCGAGACCAGCCTGACCAATATAGTGAAACCCCATCTTTAAAAAAAAAGAAGAAGAAGAAGAAAGAAAAGAAAAATTATGAAGGCTGTATAATTACAAATTATGATGAAAGTCCTCATTTCTTAAAAAGCACATTTGAATGGATATGGGAGGGCAATCGTGAGGCAGAAGCTTTCTCTGAAGAAGTGACATTTAAGTTAGTAAGGATGACTAGGAATGAGTCAGGTAAAAGGGTGGAAATAGGGTGGGGTGGGAGTAGGGGACCTTCCAGGCTCAGGGGACAACTTGCAGAAAGACTGAGAGAAGTGAAGAAACTGAAAGGCCAGTGTAGTTTGAACATAGGATGGAGAAGATGAGGTTGGAAGACCGGCCAGGGGCCAGAGCAGACAGGGTCTTGTTGGCCACAGTTTAAAAAGAGTTTAGCTGGGCGCGGTGGCTCAAGCCTGTAATCCTAGCACTTTGGGAGGCCAAGGCGGGTGGATCACGAGGTCAAGAGATCGAGACCATCCTGGTCAACATGGTGAAACCCCGTCTCTACTAAAAATACAAAAAGTTAGCTGGGCATGGTGGCACGTGCCTGTAATCCCAGCTACTCAGGAGGCTGAGGCAGGAGAATTGCCTGAACCCAGGAGGTGGAGGTTGCGGTGAGCCGAGATCGCGCCACTGCACTCCAGCCTGGGCAACAAGAGCAAAACTCCGACTCAAAAAAAAAAAAGAGTTTAAATTTTAAATGCAAAGGGCAGTTATTGAAAGGTATTGAAACCCTGAGTATGGTGATAGGCTCATAATTGCTAAGATGTTTTCGATTTCTGGTTGTTGTTTGGGGAATGAACCTTAGGGAGCAAAAATGGAGGCAGAGAGGCCAGGTAAGAAGCTGAGCTCTCAGGACAAGAGATGATATGGACTAGACTAAGGGGATAGCAGTGGAACCAGAAAGTCAACTTTTAAATTTTAGTGAGAACTGTTTTGTACCCAGGCTACTACATCTCTGCCCTGAAACTCCCAGGTCTTCAGAGCAAAAATAAATTAACCCTGGAGCACTCAGTTTTCCTGGCTCACTGTGTAAGCAGCAGCAGCTGATACAAACCTCTGGGGTTACTAACCTGCATCAACTCTATCCTCCCCAGGGCAGAGGCCATCTATCCCTCCACCCCGCCACTAGGGGACCCATTTGGCTGAAGCCAGGACCCTGAGCCCACACTATAGCCAGCCCAGCTGAAGACACAGGGTCTGTGATCTGAACCTGAGCCAGCTTTTTTCTGGGAGACTTCTTACCTGTACTCTTTACCCTTCAGGCTTCCGTATCCATGATTATTTGTACTTTCAAGTTCTGAGTCCTGGGGACATTCGATACATCTTCACAGCCACACCAGCCAAGGACTTCGGTGGTATCTTTGTAAGTTAAGGGAGACCCCTGATCTCTGATCCTCAACCTTCCCCTCCCCTCACTGAGCTGCAGTGACCCTCTCATCCCACCTGAGTGCTGGGACAGGGAAGGGAGCAAAATCAGCTCTGCCCTCCGTGAACTGCAGTGCAGAAAGGAAGCTCTTCCAGCTACTCCCCTGAGTATAATATAGTCCTGGGCACTAGGGAGGGACAAGCTGTCTTTTTGGGGTACATTAAATGAAAAGCCAAGAGCACCAGCTTCCTCTGCCAGCTCTACCTCTTAAAGTGTGACTTAAGGCAAGTCACCTCCCCTCTCTGGATCTACAACCAACTCTCCTGCCTATCTCATGGAAGGGTAGGGTCGGGTAGGACAACCAGGTAAGCCTTTGTGAGAAGTAAATAAAAATGTTTAGCTGTCTGGCAACACAGAAATCACTCCCACGTTTCCTTCACACTTTATAAGGTGCCATAAGATGGGATTGTCGGCCCAATCCTAAAGCAGGTGTGTCTCATTACACTCTTACCTCTCCAAATGTAAATGTTTTTCAGCACACAAGGTATGAGCAGATTCACCTTGTCCCCGCTGAACCTCCAGAGGCCTGTGGAGAACTCAGCAATGGTTTCTTCATCCAGGACCAGATCGCTCTGGTAGAGAGGGGGTAAGAAGTGGGCAGGCACAGACACAAGGGGTGGGCAGGCATAGGGCAGATTCTGAGATCATTATCAGTGGTAGTGCTTTGAAACAGCTGTTTTTGAAAATTTCATCTTTTTAAAGGTCTTTTAGAAATGTCTAGCCTGGGCAACATGGTGAAACCCTGTCTGTACAAAAAATACAAAACTTAGCTGGGCATGGTGGCACATGCCTGTGGTCCCAGATTCTCAGGAGGCTAAGGTAGGAAGATTACTTGAGCCCTCATTGAGGCTGCAGTGAGCTGAGATCACATCACTGCACTCCAGGATGGGCAACAGAGCAAAACCCTGTCTCAAGAAAAAAAGAAACGAAAAATAAATGTATTTAAATTATCCATGCTTTTAGCTATTTACTTGAGCCTTGAAAACAAATTCTTCATAGTCTGTCTTCTGTACTCCCAGGGTGATGATCTGGGGAAAGTGGGAGCTAGGACCTGTCTTTCCTTTGGTCTCATCACCACCTCTTCCAGGGGCTGCTCCTTCCTCTCCAAGACTCGAGTGGTCCAGGAGCATGGCGGGCGGGCAGTGATAATCTCTGACAACGCGGTTGACAATGACAGCTTCTACGTGGAGATGATCCAGGACAGTACCCAGCGCACAGCTGACATCCCCGCCCTCTTCCTGCTCGGCCGAGATGGGTGAGGGCTCCTTGCCTCTGGCTTTATCAGCACCAGCTGGGTGCCATGACTTGGGGAGGTCAGGGGTAATTGCCAGCCCCTTCTTGCAGGCCTCAACTGGGGGTGCTTCAGTTAGAGGGCAAAAAATGTTCTTGGGCTTTGGAATGCCCAGATTGATGGGGACAGTGGGGCATGATGGGGTACCAAGAAAGTGACCATCACCACCTCTCTTCATGCCCTCCCAGCTACATGATCCGCCGCTCCCTGGAACAGCATGGGCTGCCATGGGCCATCATTTCCATCCCCGTCAATGTCACCAGCATCCCCACCTTTGAGCTGCTGCAACCGCCCTGGACCTTCTGGTAGAAGAGTTTGTCCCACATTCCAGCCATAAGTGACTCTGAGCTGGGAAGGGAAAACCCAGAAATTTTTGCTATTTGGAATTTGGGGATAGCATCTGGGGACAAGTGGAGCCAGGTAGAGGAAAAGGGTTTAGGCATCGCTAGGCTGAAAGAGGAGAGCCATACCACTGGCCTTCCCTTCCCCAGGGCCCCCAAGGGTGTCTCATGCTACAAGAGAAGGCAAGAGACAGGCCCCAGGGCTTCTGGCTAGAGTCTGAAACAAAAGGTGCTGAAGGTGGGTGGCCTGAGAGCCATCTGTAACCTGTCACATCTCACCTGGCTCCAGCCTCCCCTACCCAGGGTCTCTGCACAGTGACCTTCACAGGAGATGTTGGAGTGGTTTAAAGAGCTGGTGTTTGGGGACTCAATAAATCCTCACTGACTTTTTAGCAATAAAGCTTCTCATCAGGGTTGCAACTGTGTCCTAGAATGAGAGCACATAGGGGTGGGCAGGACCTTCAAATCACTCATCTGGTCCCATACAGTTGTTCTGAGGAAAGGAAACAGGCCCACAGAGGACAGTGACTGGCCCAGGTCATTTTGGACCCGAACTCAGACTACTAGTCTTAGATCCCAGCACAGGTTCCTGCTGAGAGCCGAGGAAGCCCTGGTAAGCCAGAGTTCAGCCCCTCAGGAGAAGACTCATCTTATAGCCTGGAACTGGGGATGCAAACAGGACCTCAGGGCCAGGCACGATGGCCCATGCCTGTAATCCCAGCACTTTGGAAGGCCGAGGTGGGAGGATCATTTGAGGCTAAGAGTTCAAGACCAGCCTCAGCAATAACATAGCAAGACCCCATCTCAACAAAAAAATTAAAAATTAGCTGAGGGACCAGGCGCGGTGGCTCAAGCGTGTAATCCCAGCACTTTGGGAGGCCGAGGCGGGTGGATCACGAG